TTTTATCCATTTGTAATCATTTTTATATAAAAACATTTCTTATATTACTTTATAAATCTATTTATTATCAAATAAAACATTGAAGATATAAATAATTAAATTGTGTTTTTATTATTTCAAGGCATCTTTGCTAAGAATATGCCACTAACTCGTATGAAATAAGTTAATTATTCCTCAAATTATATAGTCTTTTAACAATTATATAGTGTTTTAAAAATACTCATACACTTGAAAACAGTGAATGTCTTTCTCTATTATTTTATAAACTAATGTTTTAAAGTAATTCATTGTTATATTCATAGCAAAACACTCTTACTATTAATTTAATGCTGTAATTTGCAAACATACCAGTGCCAGGGTTTGGTCACATTAACTCGACTGTACGCGCATTGAGAATGCATAGGATTATGTCATACAAGGCTTGTCATACCTGTATCCCTGATATACCTGAGCTCCTATAGCACATGGAACACACCCAACCATAATAACAGTCATATTTTTGCGTTTATTCATGTAAATGACAGTAAAGTCAATATGATATGAGTTTAATTGAATTTTCAATATAATTAATGTTTAATTGTATTAATAGACTACTATTTATCACAATTTCTAATAATGAAAATTAACTCTGTCTTGAATCTCTTGACCGCAACTTATATTTTGTTTGAATCGGTGGTCACAGGTATAGTGTATAAGACAAACTTAACAAATCATATACTTACGTAATAGTTAACTTAATTGACAATTAACACTTATCACAGCCGCTAATGGACAATAGTTACATTATCGTCATATCTGAACCTCACGTCACTCTTCAAACTGTGGCTGTACACCAAACTGAGACCCAAGCCATGCGATCACGTCTATGAGGCCCGATACTGTATCAAATCGACCGGGATGTTTGAGGGTATATATCATACACTTCTCTCATACTCTACCATTATATACACCATTTTCAAAGACTCAATTAACATCTAATTAATTTATATTCTTATTTTTGATCAAATGTTTGAAATACTTAAACACCACCCCTTAATACTGTAGAAACGGCACTTACACAAAGTTTTTAAATATAACTATACAATGACTTAAGTCTCTATAAATATATTAAGGTTTCGTTTGCACTTTATTTGCATTCACTTATCGATCGAGAGATTTATTTATGCGACAAAAATAAAGCATTTGATATGTATTTTAGGCCAAATAGGAACCTCCAGATTCTGTTCGTCTCGAGATTACGGCGATTACTGCGATTACGTGCGACGACCCGGCGATGAGAGAGACTACCGGAGCTGTATATTCACGTGTACTGGCGATGGATGCAACCACTCGTCCACTCTTATAATCTCAACATTTAACTTATTTTCACTCATTTTGTTTAGTATTCTTTGTTTTTACAATTAATGTCTCAATTTTATACGAATTTGTATATAAAACTAATTGCCTTATTCTCTGTTCACAATTTATGACACAATAAGTGATTTAATTTTTAATAAAATAAAATTTACACCTTTTTATAAGGGAATATTTTAAATTCTTAAATCAGTTTTAAAAAAATATGAAATAATTTAGTTTATGTTATTCTATGCTTTATGTAGAAAATAGTTTTGTGTGAAATATTTACAGTTAAATTTTTTTTATAAAAAAATTCTGAAAACCTAAACAAGTCACGATTTTTAATATACTTAAACACTTGATTTTAAATGAAATTGAAAACTTTTCAACATAAATTTACCAAAACAGCTGACTATTTATATTTGTTTTTGAAAAATAACGTACATTAATATTTATGTTTAAGTAACTAAGGCGAAGAATTTATTCTGATATTCACTCTTACTATGAAAGTAATGCAGAATAACGTAAACATAATTTTAACTTGCAATTCATAGCAATTATTAAAATTTACATTTTTATTAACTTTTGTTTGTTTTGTTTTCTGTGACTGTTATTTGAATTATATTTTAAACAAAATCTCATAAATTATAGCTAAAGCTACAAATATTCTTTAATAATAAATACAATCAAAGTTTCTACAATGAAATATATAACTTTGAAAGGATTATATAAACAAATGAAAGACTATATCTGAACTATTTTAATTATTATAAAATTTTATAATACTGTATATTATAATTGAAAAATGAGTAAAATATAGAGAAATAGATTTGTGATCGAAATATTAGTGATATTAATTACCTTTGGTTTTGATGGCTTAGGAATTCAAAAGCATTAGCCGTTCGCCTGTTTCGCGAACTTAAATGTTGACTCATTTGTAGCTTTATTTATAGAATTTATATGAATTTGTGAACTAAAATTTACTTTAACTTTTGAAAAGTTGTATTTAAATGGTTTTGTCGACTGATAAATATAAACAAAAACTTTTTATTGCATGTAATTATAAATACAAATTCATTGATTTGCGAAGAATTTATTCTGATATTCACTCTTACTATGAAAGTAATGCAGAATAACGTAAACATAATTTTAACTTGCAATTCATAACAATTATTAAAATTTACATTTTTATTAACTTTTGTTTGTTTTGCTTTTAGTGACTGTTATTTGAATTATATTTTAAACAAAATCTTATAAATTATAGCTAAAGCTACAAATATTCTTTAATAGTAAATACAATCAAAGTTTCTACAATGAAATATATAACTTTGAAAGGATTATATAAACAAATGAAAGAAGATATCTGAACTATTTTAATTCTTATAAAATTTTATAATACTGTATATTATAATTGAAAAATGAGTAAAATATAGAGAAATACATTTGTGATCGAAATATTAGTGATATTAATTACCTTTGGTTTTGATGGCTTAGGAATTCAAAAGCATTAGCCGTTCGCCTGTTTCGCGAACTTAAATGTTGACTCATTTGTAGCTTTATTTATAGAAGCGATGGTTTGAACACCGCATCCAACACTTCCATATATATTCAGAGACGACTTAGACTTTGGTTTTATTTCAAACAATTATGAACACAGAAACTAAACGATAAACTCAAGACTTGGATGACGACCAAAATAGCGTACTAACCCAACCCACAAATCCATGATTTTCAGTGCAGATTGCATAAGCGTAGGGCAGAACCGCACCAACAGTCAAACGATATATTTTCTTATTATAACATTTTTGGCTTCAGTTCTGCAAGAATTCTGATGTTATAGCCATTCGTTCAGTGATTCTCTCCATCAAAAGAAGAGCATATATTCTGTGAACACATTTCTTGTAATCAACCAAATTTCTCAATACTTTTTGCACAAAATATATTGAAAAAAAATTATTGCTTCAAAATGGGAGACATCGAGCAAGAGATCAATTTGGATGAGATCACTGACGAACGGGTTTTGCAAAACCTGGTAAGACATGTGTGCCATACAATTACGGAGATAACTGTCCACAACAGCTACTAGTCATGTGATTCTGATGTGATTCTCACACCAATAGTTGGACCAAACAGAGGATATCGACGACCGAAAGGCCATCAGAGCTCGTATTCAGGAGTTGCGAGCCGTGGAGAAAGGTATTGAATCCCATCTCAACTTTCATATCATTTCTGTCACTCTATTCACTAACTCATCGTTTATTATGTTTTGCGAACTCTATTACAAAATACAAAATTAATTTTCATTTAATAATCAAAAAGTCGACATTTAATCAAACGATAGCAAAAAATTTGAGTTTTCCTTAATTTTATTTGAATTGTAACACAATTCTGACCTCAAGTTCTGAGCCATCCTTTATATAAAATGTAATTATTTATGCATTAATTGAATACATTTTTCGAGTACAGACACTAATAATAGAATTCTGTGCTATAAATACATGCCTTAATTTGTTGTTACATTAAATCTGTTGTTAAATGCAAACCGAGAGTTTGTCCAAAAAAAGTTATACAAAAAACCACTAGACTTGAGGTCAGAAATGGATTGACGAATAAATTGCAAAATATATCCCAAACTATAGCGCGAAGGGAAGAGAAATTGAATAAATTGACGAATTCTAGAGAAGATAGACTCCAACAGAAACAGAAAGAAGCGAATGAACACAAACAGAGGACAATGGCTATGTATGACTCGATGGCTAAGTCCGCGCCCGCCGGCGGCGACAAACGCATGGATATCGGCATTTATAAGAGCTTTGATGGTTGGCCTCAACTCTTATTACTCTTTACTGTAGTTTTTGTTTGACTTTAGTTCAGGATTTACTGAAATTCCACTTCAAAAATAACACTCACTTTTTAAGCGTAACTAATGTTTGAATTCTGTAGCAAAGGGTAGTATAGAATAATCGATTGATACATTTAGAAGAATTTGTATTTTGTTGTGAGACTAATGGGTTGATTGCACCCCAAAGCTACCCCTCCCGGAACGCCGACCGGCTCGATATCAGGCATCAAATCCAGTGATTTAGTTGAGGACGCATTGCGTCAAAGACAGAGAGCGGCGGAGGACAGGAAGAAGCGGGTGTTGGCCGCATACGATGCCGCCGCTCGGGGCCAGGCGTCAGGCGTCGCCAACCGTGAGGTCAACTTCGAGGCCTTTAAGAAAGTTGACGGTAAACCAGTTTATTCATTATTCTGTAGATCACTGTTTAGATACACTGTTTGGATGTCTCATAAACTGTCATCTCTTGTAATGGTGTCTCAAATGCAATGTTTTTGTCAAACATTTGAAGCATTTTTGAATCGATTGTCTCAATAATTCTCTATTTCTTCTCTCTATTTATGTCATCTCTTGTCTGTCATGTCATTCCTCTCCTGTTGTCTTAATGTCTTGCGTTAGTCTCTGAATATACTCCCGTCAAAAGTGAGAGCACTTCCACATTTGGCAGCTCAGGTGGTGTGGCCAAAGTGACAAAGGGTGGGTAGAGTTTGAGGACATACTAATGCCTACTACTAGTCACAGCCTAACCGTTGTTTCGCAAACAATACACGCAATCTTCACATCAAGTAATCCATTGAATGATTTGTCCGACAAATAGCCCCCTCATCACAGCCGGGAACTCCTCTGAGTCCTGGATTCCCGGGTGGTGTGAGCTTTCCCAAGGAGAGTGAACCGGACGCCATGGAGAGGATGATCCGCGCCCGACAACTGGAGGCCGATGAACGCAAACGACGAACTCTGGCCGCCTATGACATCGTCGCCAAACAGGGCGCAGGTCTGTCCCCACACTCTGTCTGCTTGTCTATCAACGCATTCACTCTCATCTCAATCCTCGCATTAATCTTATTGTTATTTCTTCTTTACTCCCATTCGTTGAACAAAAGGTCCAAAACTTGTCTGTTTAGAGGAATTCAAAAATATAGACGGTATGACCTCTACATACATTCCCTACCATTTAGTGCTGACATTACGTGTGCTTAATCTGATCAGTGCTCACAAGAATGTCTCGAAATGAGACCATTTAGTGAATATCATAAGAATATCATAACTAATAGCTATGATAGCACTGAAGCACATCATGTCATACATTAATTGTTGAGACAAAAAGTGTTGATAACTAATGAAGTCTTATTGTCTGCACCCATAGTGAAGAACCATCAGTTAGGCACCTCTTACTCGTCTTCGGCTGGTTTTACCGGAGGAGTAGCCCGTTCCTAATCAGCCCAACCCATGACATCAATTTATAAATCATTGGTCAACGATATTGAATGAAAGACAAATCAAATCAATGACTCAATAAGACTGATATAATTTAATATTAATATTATTAATAATGATTTATTCCTCAAAAAAATAAAAATAAACACCACTTTTAATGATAAAAATTTTTTGCTATCAATTCTCATATTTATTTAAGAAATGCTTTGTTTTGCTTTAGTTGTGACAGTATTTCAAATATTTGTAAATCTTTTCTATCGATTGATTGATTGATGGCTTTAATGAAATTTTGTTGTTTTTTGTATTTTCAAGAGTCGTTACAAAAATATTTGTCATATCTTTTAAATTAACATAAAATATGGTTTTTCAGAGGCAGAGCCAAAACAGAATGATAAACGGACTGAAGGGGGACTGGGATCCAGTTCCAGTGTTACCATTACTAAGTCCGTCACTACTTCTTCGTGTACTACTAGTAGTCAAAAGTAAGTTTTAATACAAATTAGACTTACTTTTAAAGCAATGATCACAAAATGACACTTAAATACAAATACAATACACAACAAATTTACACCAATTATTATTAAAGCTTTCAATTTTTTGTTACAAAATACTCATTAATAAAACTAAAATTCTTGAATTGTTTCCACACTTTGATTCTCATGTGAAATAAATAATCCGCAAAACTTTGTGTATTAAAAAAGTGAATTTAAAGTTCAAACCACATGTAAGCATGAATTATACAGCGATTAACGACTTAATAATTTTATAATTTTAAGAATTTCTTCAATTTGTTTGCTTAAAGTTATTGTTTTGTTTGCATTTTTTCACTGCCTTTAAGTAATTGTAAGTTTTTTTCAAACAATAATAAACTTTTGAATATTAATCAATTGTTTTATAAAGTGTTGTCAGAGTTATTAATTGGTTGATTTATTTATTATGTATATAATAAATAGTTTATTATGTGTTCAATTGTTGCATTTGGTCGTACTTTCGGTCCTTTCAAATGTTTTATCTGTTTTTATCTGTTGGAAAGTTTATAAAAATAAACAAATTTATTTGAACTATATGTCAAGCACAATACAAAGATTTTAAACAATAAAATAATTAATATGGTAAACAGATTTCAATAATCGATTTATTTTAAAATTCAGTTTATTTACCATAAACATTATGAATGGTTTTTTAATTTTAGCAAGAATAATATTGTAGTAATTAAGGTGTTAAATAGACCTAGATCAATTGAAGATTATAAATTATGAATGAAGAGGAATTGTAAAAAGATACAAATATAATATAATGTCATTTTCTGATTACATGTTAGTTTTACTTTATAAAAATATTTAATTTTTAAAGAGTATATTTTAAATGAACAATTGTTTCATTAGTTTTAGATCTGGTGGTGGAGTCGCCAGAAGTGGAAGTGATATAAAAGATATGCTTCTGAGATGGTCGAGGGCTAAGACTAAAGAATATGAGGTATTTTTAATCTTAAAATCTAAATAACAAATAGATTTACTTATTCTGTAATTAGTTTAAGGATACAGTCTATTTTTGTTTAGCAATTAAACGCTATGTTTAATAGAGTATAGAATGGTTATGGAAAACATATGTAGATTAAGATAATAATTGACACAAAAAGAATATTTAATACAGAATATTGTACACAACATATTCTGAATGATAAGTCTTAATATCTATTTTTGTTATATAGTGAAGGATAAAAAGTTTTAGCAAAACAAATAAATTTAAATTATAGAATAAGATTTTTCTTGTTAATCTATTAGTTTAGTCTAAATCTTTGATTCACTAAAAATAAGGCAAAATCTATTTTTAAAGAATACATATTTGATAAAAAAGTGAATATTACTAAGAATACAATGATTGTGTATACAATTGTGTAACAGAACGTGCAAATCGACAACTTCTCCGGCAGTTGGGCCAATGGACTGGCATTTGCGGCACTCATTCATCACTTCTTTCCCGACGCCTATGACTACAAGGAATTGGACTCAAAGAACAGACGCCGAAACTTTGAGCTCGCCTTCAAAACGGCTGAGTATTATAGTAGTCATTGATTATGCATTGAATCAAAGTTTTAATGTGACTTTATTTGACTGATCAGAGAAAAGGCTGATGTCTACCCGTTGATTGAAGTGGAGGACATGTTGCTTATGAAGGATAAACCGGATTGGAAGTGTGTGTTCACTTATGTCCAGGCTATATATAGAAAACTTCACGACAGGGACTAAACTCTTAAATCATTTTTTCTGCTTTTCGTTGTTTTGGAGTTAAGTTTGATTTTCTGGAAACGAATTATAAGTTTGCGATATTTGTATACATTTTCTTAATTATGTTTAAAGTTTCAAGTTTATTATATTCTTTAATTTAATGCATTAGTATTATGTAAGCAATTAATAGAGTAGTTGTTAAGAGTTTTAAAGTGAATAAATACATAGAATATTATATATACTGTAGAATTGCTGATACATAGCAAACCAAGAATAATATATTTCTAAATACATATGTGTTATATAGTTCTATTGCCATACTATAATACAGTACAAAGTACAGTATGCATTAAAACACATTATTGTATAAATTGTTGAATATTTAAAAATTTTATTAAAATTCTTTGTTATTTAATTGCATCAAATTTATTTATTTAATTGTGATAAAATATATACAAAGTCTTAATATTTAAAGTGGCTTGATAATTTTATTAACTAACTTGGAAGTTAATCCTTAATTTTTTAATGTTGTGTTGATAAACCTAAAAATCAGATTCAGATTATTGAGCTAATTTAAATGTCAGTCTTGGTAAAACTTTGTAATTATTAAGCAAATTATAATTCTTGTGAAATATAATTGAATTTATTACATTTAACCATCTATTTATATCGCACTTATTTTAATGGATTTCAGCAAAAATTTTACAAAATATAAATTTCATGCGAAAGTTAAGTAAAAAAGGTTTTAACTAATCATTTCTTGTAAGAAATGATTGACAGACTCATGGACTCTAAGTTTTATTGAGTTTACTCTGGATTCATATTATCTGTATTGTCATAATAAATAGATAATATAAATAATAATTTAAACAATAAAACTGTTTTTACTTGTACACAGATTTATTTTCTTATCAATTGTAATGCATATAATGGTTGCAATTCTTATCCCAAACGTATTCCTGAGTATTAAAAGATTAGTTTTGATAATCGTTTCCACGAATTGTTTGCGATATTAATACATATCTTAATACAGTGTAACCGTTATATAAACAAATAATTGCTTGCTGTTTATTTCAATCCAACTAAATAGAAAAACTTATCAATTATTGATTGCATTGCAAAATATTTACAGAATATTCTGATAACTTGTTATTTAATATACTTTATATTAGATTATTTCTAACTAATTTCTAAACACATAAAACTATACTTGGTCTTAATTAAGTGCCTGAATTAAATAGCATATATGATTAAATACGATATAATTAACTAAAATTATAAATATAATCCCGGTAATTTAACTAAATGTCAATGCATTTAATTCTACAGAAATACAGTATAATACTATTGAATCAATACTATGAAATGCTCCTGAACTAACCTTAGATGGAGCTAGATTAATTTGTGACTCACTCTTAATCCTTTAATAAATGAGTTATCTTAATTAGGATTCAATTGTTTGTAATAAATGCTTAATATACTAATGCAGTACAGTACCTGGATGATTTATAAATTAAACATCAATTAAATACTCAATTCAATGAAAGGGAAAGGGAGTGCTTATGTGAGCCGGCATACAATGCAATGAATCTGTATTACAGACCTTTATAAGCAATGTATGCAATGGTTAATGTATGCATTGCATAGAGACAAAAGGGCACAAAACCTATGACACAAACAACTATGAAAATGGCGTTCATTTGAGTGTACATTGAATGACACTTTCGTAGACATCTCAAGAAGTGTCCAAATATTGCACAAACAGATTGTCCGTAAAGAGTGTCCAATTGGTCGTCAAATATGCGGACATTCGGTGAAAGACCGACGGCTTTCCAGTTGGAAGAGAATGGAGACTATTATTACATCGGATCCGAGGTATTGATCTCATGGTGTGGTTATTGTCTCTCGTGATGACTAACTGATTGGTGATGTGATGACAGGTCGGCAACTATATGCGGATGTTTAGGGGTTCCCTCTACAAGAGGTATCCATCCCTTTGGCGAAGAATGGTCAGCGTTGAGGAGAGGAAACGGATCAACACTATAGGGTTGGGTCCGCACTCTTTGGCCACTAATATCACACTTCTTAAGGCCTCAGAAGTGGATGAGATATTCGATGGAAGGGATGAGAAATACAAAGCCGTTTCCATCAGTTCGGAGCCATTGGTGCAAAGGTTTGAGACATTGTCTGCGGACATGAAGTGATGACAAGTGAAGTAATTGTTGTTTTGGTTGTGAAGAGAGACCAAATCCAAGAGATCCAATTGGATCCCAACGCTGCCCAACAGTTCCCACCACTTGGACGCCGTTCCCTGCTCTACACCCATCAGCCGAAGTCGTATCTGTCATAAGAAGGTCCGCACGTTTCCACTGCTTTACGACGATTTAGATCCGGCGCTCATTCACGAGAACGCCTCACAAACTGAAGTCTTGGTTCCCGTGAGACTCGATATGGAGATCGAGGGACACAAACTCAGGGATACATTCACGTGGAATAAGAATGGTTTGTGTATTAGTGGTCACATTTGGTGGTTGTGAAGCTGATGAGTGTATGTCTT